AAAGACAACATCAATAAAATCGTCGAATTTCTAAAACTTATTGATATGTACTATTTATTTAAATGTAGCTAATATTTACTTTAATGTAAGCTAATAACCTAATGCTGTATCAAGTATAAAAAAATATTGAAGGTTAAAATTAAATTTGAAAATAATAATTTAAAAATAAAGATAGAAACTAGTAATTGGTTTTTACTGTAATTGCTAAATYGGATGAYGTGGTCACGAGGTGTATTTTATTGTAACAAAGTAGGGTTCTTTTGGTAACAAGAAAAAAAAAGTTTCGTCCGGTGTTCAAAACGGATAATTGTCGCTGCGACGGTTYGTGTACAAGAGGGAGATCACCGACGGCCGGTACTCATCTGACGTGACTTGTTTTCTCGTCCCGCGAGAGTAACCTAGTTGGTTTCCATTTGGCCCAATTGGTTCCTGTTTGTTGTTTGTTGTAAAAAATGTATTTTGTTAAGTTTATGCCAATTGATTTCCGGTTAAACAATGTGTTATATTAGGTACAACCGAATTGGTTACCTCGGTAATTCGCGCGTATTTTGACGAACTTTAAAGAGTTTCAACCTAGGAAAATAATGCTTAAATTTATTTTAAAAATTATGTTTATAATAATTATTGTGATTATATTATAAATCAAAAGTTAAATAAATTCATATGGTATTTTTGGTAACATCGATAATTACCGAATCATGGTATTATTTAAAAACCACTAGTTACGAGCATACCGCAAATACTTCCAGTCAGGATTTATCCGCCTGGGTTGTTAACGATTTTTCACCAAWCCATTAATGTCGTCTTAAATTTATTTGATTGCATTATGCAGACCGACAACTAACGCCATCATGGGACTTACGTTTTCCAACTACGTCATCAAGCCGTTCTTTGCGGAATGCGACAATCCGGAACAGGCGGTTAGACTCCTGGCTGCCGCCGTGATTTGTAAGTATAGACGTTGCAATGCTATCAACGCCAACTCCACATTGAACTTAATCATAACATTTGAAATTCGTCATCAATGTATACAAATTTAGGTTTCATAACATTCATTAACTGCTGGAACGTCAAGGCTACCACCAAAGTTCAAAACGTGTTCATGTTCACTAAGATTTTCGCTCTGKTGTTGATTATCGTGTGCGGCGTAGTTTACCTATACTCAAGTCAGTATAAAATAATGGAATAATAGTTTACTATAAACTAATCAGTAATCACTAATTACCAATGAGGTATAGTGAATTTTAACGTAAAAAGAACATGACCGTATTATAACCGTCAACTAACCGTTTATATAAAGCGGCCAGAAAATGATTTTATTATTTTTATTTTTACTATTCTACAAACAAATATATCTTAAATAATAGTAGGTATTTTAGTGTAAATTTTTTTTTTAAATAAATGAATTTAAAATATTTCATTTGAAAAGTGAATGATGGTGGAGTAGGTTTAAAACAAAAATATTACTAGGCAAGATGTTAAATTAATTACCTATCTAAAATCATATTACACAATAACACGATTTGAAAATCTTATAACTTTTTTTTACTGTACAAAAACTAATATAAAATTAATGTAGTGATATTATTTGATTAACAATTAAATCGGAATCCCAAGACTCCAAGACCATTAATAAACAAGGATTGTTTAACCTACTATTGTGATACCTATACATATTCACACATAAGTATTCACAGTAAAAACATTGAATAACAAAAAAATATAATAAAAATCAATACATAGGTTATTATATAAATTATTATATTATATAACCTATTGGCTATTGTACAATATACATATACAATATATACATACTAAAAGAAATAGGCTAGGTATAATGAACACCAAAATCTTATATAAATAAATTGTTGTGTTTGAGGTCTTATAAAATAGTCTATAATAAAATTTGAATGCAATMATTTTTATATTTATCTTGTGGTTCAAACAATATATAAATGTATACAATATACTTAATAGTTATAAAATTTAATAAGAGACTAATCCATAATTACATAGTAAATGATGCAATTTTTTTTAATAACATAATATAATACAGGCGTATGCTGACATTAATTTCAGATAGTTTATGACAAATTGAAGGGGCTCATTACTCATTTGTAAAATCTCTTCAGAGACGCACACAAAGCTACCTAAGAAATTATTTTATACACCTCATGATACAACTAATAGAAGTCTAAAAATGTAATTAAATTCATATAACATGAGGTGATATTGAAAATATTATTCTCACAATTTAACATTATATTTTCAATACAATATTTATTTTAAATTTTACTTTAACTTTTATAGTAGTCATACATACATATAACTGATATGTCTTATTTTTATGATTTACCTTATAAAAGGTTTATTTTATTTTTTTAAAACTATTTCATATTAGTTTTGAGCTAACTGTAATGTTGTGCATTAATTTGTGCATGCATTATTATACATTATTACATATTATCAGTTTTTAATTAAATTTTATTTTCAGTTTGATTAGTTTTGTTCATTTAGTTACACCACCAAATGTTATTCAATGTTTGATGACACAAAAGTTTTATTCTAAAAATTAATAGCTGACACCATAGCGCAAACCTAATACAACATCATGTATTCTTACCTCTATTATTACTTATTAACATCTATTTGGACACATCAAGATGGCAGATGGCTGCCTATCTATTTATACCTACAATAAACTTAAAAATATAATGTTTTTTCTTTTATTATAATATATTTTACTTAAATAACTACTTTGTCACATTATTAGGTAGGCATGTCTAAATCCTAATATTTAGGTATCATAGGAATATTTTTATTTTAAACTGTATTGTWTTTAGTGTTTTGCAACTGAATAAACTCTTCTGTTTGATTGGTGTTGTTAGATATTTAGGTACCAACTAAATCTTAGTTAAAATATTATTAGTACCACTTTTAAATTTTACTGTATTTTTTTTAGTTAGAAGTTAAGTTGAGTTTGTTTCAATTTTTTGAATACATGTTATAATCTTTACGAATATTTTGCACTTTTGCATTACGAATATTTTRATTTTACTGTATGATTTAAATTGGAATAGATTTATCATAGTCCTGAGCTTTTAAATCATGATAAAATTTTAAAGATCATTTGTCTAGCAGATGCTCTATCAAATTTTATAAATACTTGACCACAGTTACCTGTGCATTTCTTTTATAGTAGTAGTAATAAAGTCAATCAATTTCACTTCTACTCCTTTATTATATACCTATTAATTATTATAGATATTACTTATTACATACTACTTAATTTAAGCCAATAATGTATTATAATAATGTTGCTATAATGTAGGTACGCCTAATTTTGATAAATAATAGAAATAGAGTTTTTATATCGCTGCAATAGTCAATGACAGTAAACTGTGTATTTTTAATTGAATTCTTATTTGATTTGACGATCCTAAAAAAAATATCATAATAATAAATGGTGAAATATATTTTATACCTAATATGTACATTGTACAATGTATATTTACATATCTAAATCCTGTGTTGGATCATTTCTAGTAAATTGGTAGATCACCTGCTATACAAATGCCTTTTATAGTGATTCATAATAAAAGTAATRTAACATTTTAGTCATGATAWATTGAAATAGGTAAGTTGTTTGCTTACATATTACCTTATTGTTTTTAACGATATTCATAATTATATAGATAAAATAATCTTAAAATAAAACATTATATATAAATTTAAATTTGAAATATTTAGCTTTTCATTGTCTTTCCCTTTTAAACAATTTGAAATTATTTAAGTGGTTTGTAATATTGTAAATATAATACGGAATTTAGTAAATTTGTAATGCAAAAGTGCAAAATATGAGTTAAGATCATAACATGTATTCAAAAAATTGAAACAAACTCAACTTAACCCCTAACTAAAAAAAAAATACAGTAAAATTTATGTTATTCGTTTAGTATGTGACCTACCAAGACGATTATCTATATTATGGGTATGGACAACCTATATTTGCTTATATTTATAATTATATTATATTATATATTTACTGGTTTTTAACAATAGATATTTTGCCACTCTAACATTATCAACAATATTGTTAGTACGAGCAGTACGTGTTCTGTCGTTAATCCGATATCGCGTGTTTAAAACTTTAAAATGTTGGTAATCGAAATGTATAYGATTATTTCTTATTCTTCTTAGAAWTTTTACAAAAGAATAAACTATTACCTCAAAATAACGAGACTAATTTATGCCATAATTGCAATGGTGGAAAAAAGATGTACATGAGGAAAAAAAGATTGGTTACTGGTGAAATACGAGAAATCAGCACCATACGATGTATCACAAAAGGATGTCAGACATATAAATCAATTCGATCAACAAATGGATTTTTTTACATATACTGATCTTAATGCACAATGCAATTCTAATCTCAGTTTGGGCCAAATACTAGAACTTATTTATTATTGGTCACAAGATTTACCCATCAAAACTGTTTTTGATTTGATGGGTCATTCAAACGCAACCATTGTTGATTGGTTTAATTTGTGTTGAGACATTAGTTGTTCATTATTTGAAAAACGTGAAAATATGGGAGGTCAAAATATAGTGGTACAAATTGATGAATCGTTATTGAGAGGGAGAAGAAAGTATAACCGAGGAAGACTGCTGCTAGGTGATCTGCGTCATGAACAAGWACAAGAGAACTTGACAGACTTCAATTCTGACAGTGATCAAAAAAATCAAATTAACCTAGTTAATTCACCTACATCAACTGATGAGAAATTATGGTCGTAGACTAGAAGGACCATGGGTATTCGGATTATGTAGCAAAATCAGAGATAATTTGAAACGAAGATTTTTTGTTGTAGAAAAACATGATAGAGAAACTTTAATTCCGATTATCGAAAAAGAAATATTACCTGGTTCTATTATAATGTCAGATCAATGAAGAGCATATTCTTGTTTAAAAAATATAGGCTATGATCATAGAACAGTACACCATTAAAAAAATTTAGTTGACTACTGGAGCTCACACGCAAGCAATTGGATGTTCATGGAGAGTATTAAAAACTAAAATCCTACGAAAAATGCATGGAACATCAGCTGAAATGTTGCCACGTCATGGTGCCGATCTCTCAACAGGCAAGATAAAATTTTTTTTAAATTATTAAGTGAAATACAAAAAGTGTATTGCCAAACATAATTTAATTTTATGAATTTTTTTTATACTAATATTGAATATAATCCCTAATCTGTAATAATAAAATAACCTAATTATATAATTAATTATCGGTCCTGTAGGTCACGCATACAAATACCCTATGGCCTATACAGTAGGTCATAGGTCACATACTAAACAAATACCAAATTTAAAAGTGGGACTAATAATATTTTAACTTAGATATAATAGGTAATACCTAAATAGCTAACAACACCAATTAAACAGAAGGAACTATTCAATTGCAAAACACTAAATACACTAATATAGTTTAAAATAAAAATATTCCTATGATACTAAAATATTAGGATTTAGACATACCTACCTAATATTATAATAAAGTAGGTGAAAAATCTATGATTTTAGTTTTAGTTTTTAAAGAAACGTATAATTTACCACACATTTATAATTATTGATTTGATGTTGTTAGCTAATTTAACTTAATTGTATTATATTTTTTTAAATTACATAAATACATTAGCATCTAAAATGTTCATTTAACATATTTTTAGATTACAATATTATTGGGATCAGTTTTCTTCTGGAATACCTATGTCAGGTTTAATTTTTTATTTAACTTCTTTGAAATTAACTTGAGTAATTGAATATCTAATGAAAAAGGATAAATATAACCAAATAATTTAACAGTAAAAAATATGTTTACATAATTAATTAATTTTGTAGTATCTTCAATTATCAAAATTCTATATTGGAAACAATATTTTTATTTGTCATCGTTCTCATTTGCAAATTTAATGGGCGTTAGGAAATTATATAATTTCATTATTTATCTCTCAAGCCATCTGGCAAGTATAATTGTATATAGTAAATATGGATAATCTTAGTTCTTAATAATTATTACTATGCCAGAATTCAAAATTTGAATATATGCTAATTAAAAGTACTTCTGAACAGAGAACATTATGTTTTTAAGTATATTGTAGGTAGGTATAAATAGATAGGCAGCCATCTTCCATCTTGATGTGTCCAAGTCAGAGATGGATTTACACAATTGCCGCCTCTAGAGAAAATTTTTTTTTGCCGCCCAATTACGACTTAGTAAAAAAACAAAATAACGAAATATGTAATCTATGGTTAGTATTTAGATAATAGATAATATATGTTCTGGCAGTCGTTCGATTATTTACTTGGACGTTTATTGTTATGTATTAGTATTATAAAATAATGAAGAAATTATATTAGAGTATAAATATACTAGAGTWTATTTTCAATAAAATATTGGCCTAAAATTGCCGCCCCTAAAAATTTGACGCCCTAGGCAACTGCCTACTTTTCCTGACGCTAAATCCGCCACTGGTCCAAGTAGATGGTAATAAGTAATAATAGGGGTAAGAATACTTGAGGTTGTATAAGGTTTCTGCTATGGTGTGTCAGCTATTAATTTTTAGAATAAAACAACTTTTGTGTCATCAAACATTGAATAACATTTGGTGGTGTAACTGAATGAACAAAACTGATCAAACTGAAAATAAAATTTAATTAAACAGATAACATGTAATAATGCATAMTAATGCATGCMCAAATTAATGTATTAATCAAATTTATTTTTCTACTTATACATTTTATTTATTTAAAAAAAAACTTACCTTACTGACAAAATGTGTGCTTTCAAAGTGGTAGGTATTATAAAATTTACTCCACGCTTAATAATATACACGGATCACAAATGTCATCAATGGAATTTTTTCGACAAATTTAATTATTCAAAAACTATTAGGTACGTTAAGTATATTATGTTATTTATGAAATTTAAACTGTCAGTATACTTAATGATATAACGTATAAAACATACAATAATTAGTTTAATTACTGATTACATTATACATTTAAATAATTTAATATTTAACTATTTAAGTAATAATTAATAAGTGTTTTGCAGCTGATCACATGGTTTACAATTATTTGAACTTTAATATCAGTTTATCACTACTGGTTGGTTTTTCTTTAATATTATCATTAATAAATTAATATCATATATTTTAATCAATGCATTATCTAATAATATCATGGTCATAAATAGGTAATTATAAATAATGATAAAGGTATCGCCTACTTATTATGCCTATAATTACTAATAATAGGTATAATATGCGTCGTAATGATATAATACTGTCAATTGTCATGTAAAGAAGACAATGGAAGAGATCTAATACGATAGCCAAGGTTATTAAAAAGTAGCTTTTATAGTCAAATTAGCATTTAATAGGTGTTATAAAACATTCAATTAATCAGGTACAAAGTACAACATCTTGAAATAAATAAATAAATGTATATTTTTAATTTAAATTTTTTGTTTAATAAAATCAATACATTCATTGCTGTTTAGAATCTAAAATATATTTATTTCTATGAATAATAAATAATAACATATAACCTGGCTGTTTATTAATAATTATATATATATATATGTATATAAATATATTATACATACCTACGATATGACCAATAATGTGTAAACATTTTTTAAATAGTACCTAATTTAATACCTACTTTAATTTTAATTGTTATATATTTAATTATTGTGATTTGACTTTTTTCCCATGGCTTTTTTCCCCTACATTCTTGTAAAACGTAAAAGGTACCGCTTGTTAATTGTCTAGACATTTATATTCTATTCTAGTTCGGATCCACTGGATCCAGTCACAGTATTAAATAATAATTTAAAATATAAATTCAGATAAAATTGTGGAGGAAGAAAATTTACAAAATATAAATTTATTTTTAATGGATCATGAATATATTGTGA